TGTGTTTTTCTGCAAATCCTTGTATACATTGTGTTATATTTATATTTGAGTACTTTTGTGTGTGTGTGCTATTGTAAGTGGTTTTTTTTTCATTAAAAAATTTGATATTCCAATTGTTTATTCTGATAATAGGAAAATAGTTGACTCTTTTATATTAACCTTGTATCCTAAGATGTTTCTGTATTTGCTTATAACTTCCTAGAGGTGCTTTTTTTTTCTTCTGGAGAGTTGTGTTGACTTCAGATAAAGACAGTTTTATTTTTCCTTTCCACACGTATACCTTTTTTTTGTTGTTGTTTTGTTTTTGGTCTTACTGTAGCTAGGACTTACAGTATAAAATTAAATAAGAGTGTCAAGACAGGACATCCTTGCCCTGTTCCTGCACTTAGGGGAAGAGGTCTAGTCTCTTAACATTAAATGTGATGTTAGTTCTGGGTTTTTATAGGTAGTGTTTATCAAGCTGAGAAAGTTCCCCTGTAACCCTAGTTTGTTGTCGTGAGGGGCTGTAGGATTTTGTCAATTGCTTTTGCTTTTCCTTCATCAATTGATATGATGATCATGTGATTTTTCTTCTTTGTCCTATTGATGTGCTGGGTTATATTGAGTTTTTAAAATATTGACCCAGCCTTCTATACCTAGAATAAATTCCACTTCCTTGTAGTTTATAATTCTTTTTTCCATTGTCAGATTTGATTTGCCAATATCTGAGGATTTTTGCATCTATGTTAATGAGAGATATTGGTCTTTAGTTTTCTCATAATATCTTTATCTGGTTGTGGTATTAGGATAATGTTGGCCTCATGTAATGAGTATGGAAGTGTTATTTACTGGAGGAAATTGTGGAGAATTGGTAATATTTTTTCCTTAGGTGTTTAGTAGAACTCACTAGTGACACCATCTAGGTTTGGTGCTTTCTATTTTGGAAGTGTTTTAATTATTGATTCAATTTTTCTAATAGCTATAGGTCTTTTCAGGTTATCTATTTTTTCTTGTATAAATTGGTTAGCTGTCTTTTTTTTATTGTGAAATACACATTTTTTAGAATTAGTTTCAGCTGTACAACACAGTGCAATAGTTATACTTTTTACCCCTCGAAGTGACACCC